ATTCAAAATTAAGCTTTATTAAGGTTGTTTATTTAAATCCAAAACACAACCTATTTTGAAAAAAAAAATATCAATTATTGAAATTACTATTTTTAATATAATCATAAAATCTTCAATATCTTTGATTTTAATATTGAATGTATTTTTTATTTTCTTTTATTACAAATGAAGGGTATTTGTCTCACATAGAAAGTGTTTATTTTTAGTTTTAATCGACACTTCCACGTGAAATTTTAATAGCATTATTTATTTGAATCCAACCACAATCTATTTGAGAATAAGTATTTTTTTTTTATATTTGATAGAGATATCATCTGACTTACGATTAAAAACTAATTTCTTTTGAGATATAGAAAATAAAAATAAAAAAGTTATTCTTTTATTCAAGAAAAAATTTATATACAACTCGAATTCCTATTTGCATGTTGAAAGAATCCAAATATCGATTATTTTGAATCTTATCGATGATATTAGATGATATTCGATTATATTAATATATATATATATATAGAAAGAAGGATTTGTTTATTTTATAAGTTTATTTATATTTATTTTGTTTAATAATTTGTGTTCTATATCGAATTTCAATGATTCAATCATTGAATTTAAAATTTTTAATATTTATATTAAATTTATAAATTTTTAAAAAATAAAAAAATTATTTGATATTTTGTTTCATAAATTCAAATTAACGTATAAAATTATTTTATGATTATCCATCAATTTGAATTAATGAAACGAAGTATCAAAATGATTTTCAAAATTTTTAAAAATTTACAGACTTTATCTATACATTAAAAACTTTAAATTTAATGGATTCTTTATATATATATATATATATATACCGAGATCAAATACAGTAGTTTTACCTATAAGGTGTGATTGATACATATTAAAGTACAAAATACAAAAAAAATAACATGAATCAAATGCTCAAGTTACTAAACAACTTTTTGCTCTCGGTGAATTTTAAATTTATTATAATATATTTTTAATATTAATTATTATCATCATAACGAGAACAATGGTGACAAAAATTATGATAACTACAATAATAATAGTGATAATGACAATAACAATGATAATGATAAAGATAAAGTGATGATGGGTGATGGCAATGATAATAGTGGGCTATGGTGATGGTAGTAAGTGGCAATGGTGGTGGTGTTAGGCGAATATGACTCACAGTTGGGTATATTGGTATATCAATATTGTAACAACCCAATTTTTACTGGGCCAATAGCCCAATTAAAGTAGTTTAGTAGCCCAGAACGGACCGTTTCAAAATTGGAACGAGTCGTTCCAAATTACTAAATAGACCTACTTTTGGTAGCCCGGAACGGGCCGTTCCGGATTTGGAACGGGCCGTTCCGGATTTGGAACGGGCCGTTCCAAACCATTAAATTTGCCTATGATTCTTAGTTAATAACGGGCAGTTCCAGAGTTGAGAACGGACCATTCCAAAATATGACCGTTGTGATTATTAAATGCACCTCAGAACGGGCCGTTTTGGTTTGAGAACGGGCCGTTCTGGATGTGATTTTTAGTCGTGATTTAAGGGTCTAGAACGGGCTGTTCCGGATTTGGAACGGGTCGTTCCTACCACTCCCAAAAAGGACACCTCTCATTTTCTGATTTCTTTTCTTCTGCTCTCTCTTCTTTCCCTCTACTTTCTTCTTTAGACCGAGGGGAACCCAGCGAGGGAGACTAACCAGATCTTGTGTAGGTTCAACTTCTACATATCAAGGTACGGGAAAAAAAAAGGATTATTTATATGTAGAGTTACATGAGAAAATTGGGTAGAGGAAGAGTCCCTTAAGATTATGAGTAATTTTATAATTATTTCTGTTTGAGAAATTGTTGATCCCATTAGATTTTACATGTATTGAGGATTAGAAATATATATTTAAATTGTAAGAATGATGATTTGGGAGAGAGAACAAAATTATAGAAAAGTTCCTGTAAGCTAGGTTTTGAAAAAATTGGATTATTTCTGTTTGAGGAATTGATGATCCCATTAGATTCTGTATGTGTTGAGGATTAGAAATATGCTAATAATTTGTAAGAATGATGATCTGGGAGAGATTAAAAATATGCTAATAATTTGTAAGAATGATGATCTAGGAGAGAGAACGAAATTGTAGAAAAGTGCCTGTGAGTTAGGTTTTGGAATAATTGGGGGTTTTACCGTTTATGTTAAGATTATATTAAATTGGTAATTCCATTGATTATTATATTAATTTATGAATGTTAATGTTATATTACTTGTTAAGAATTGATGATCTAGATGTGAATTTCTTGATGGGTGTGTAAACCCTTATTTTGTTGGACTTATCTGTTGTGTATGTGATATGAATTTGAGTTATGAAATGAGATGTGTGGAATGTGAATAAGATGTGGTTGTGGGACATCATACTGATGACCAGGGGTGAGCACGACCCTAGAATGTTAAAAGGGTAGCGTGACCTTGGCACAGTGTTATGTCAGGGGTGAGCAGGGCCCTAGGCTACTAAAAGGGTAGCGTGACCTTGACACAGTATGATGTCAGGGGTGAGCACGACCCTAGGCTGAAGGGTAGCGTGACCTTGACATAGTAAGATTTGTGATGATTGTGATTGTGATGTTATTGTGGTTCCTCACACATATGACCAGGGATGAGACGAACCTTGAGTAAGTGATGCTACAAGGACGAGCGTGCCCCTGACATGGTGTGGGATAAGTGAGGCAATTAATACGTATCACTTATATCTAGAGTGGCACGACCTTGAGGTGGCGTGACCATTGGCATAGTGTTAATTGCAAGATTTGTGATAGACTGGTGTGATTGTGAAATTGTGATGTGAATATGATGCATGATTGATAGAATTAGAATGTATGGATATGTTTGTAAAGACTTCAATAATTGATGAGATTATATTGTGTTTTTCCTTGTGTGCTTTACATATAGATGTTTTCTTTTCTCACCGTGCAATTGTGGATGTTTTAGGTGAGGAAGATCTGACTATGAGTGGCATCTAGAATGCCAACGGTTGAATTGTGGGTATGCTTTGATATTGTGACATCGGGGCAGAGGATTTCTAGGACATGAATTTTTTTATATGGATTTGGAATTGTACTTATTACTTTAAAAATAATTTGTAAACTCTTACATTTTATTTTTCCAATGTTCATTTTCAATCATTTTGGATATTGAAGAACATTAGTGAAGGTTTTTAATGTGAACCCTTTTATCAGTGTTGAAAAATTTATTTCCTTAATTTAATTACATTATTACGCTTTATGTGTTAGGGTAGTAAGGATGTCACAAATATGATAGCGAGTGTTTTTGTACTTGAGACAAAAAGTTGTCTAATAATATTTTAAGTAACAAAAAGTGAGATTTTTGTCATGCCTTTCTTTCTTCCTTTTTTATTTTATGATTTCTCCCATGACTCTTTTGTAAATTAAACTCAAAACAACTATTTTTATCTTGTCTATTATCATAAATTTTAGTTGATAAAAAAATCCATAATATTCTTATCCAACTTGAATAAATTTCTCTTTAATGAAAGATAAATATGGTTTATAATAAAAAAAACAAATGGACTTCATAACAAAAAGGCGTGGCAAAAGGAAAAAATTATTAAAAATGTTATAACCGTTAATGGGCTTACCCTATGTTCCTGTAAGGTTAATATAAATAATGATATTTAGAGAGAGAAAAATACTTTTTGCATTATTATAAAACTAATTATTGGTTTGTTTAGACTCAAAAGACTAATTTTGTTGGAGTGCTTTTGTAGATACTGCACTTCTCCTCCTTTGACAGGTGTATTTGAAGGCTATCAAGTGAATTATAAAGGGAATATGTAAGAATCATAAGAAGAAAGAGAATCAAAATGATAAAATTATTGATGTACTCTCATGTAAGTTTAGACTTGAATTATCAAAATAGTATATCAACATGAACATCAAGTATAATTAAATGATAAATTAAATAAATATAAAAATTAAATTATGATATATTTTAGGCTTAAGTGTATTTTTAGTTTTTGCAAAATGAGCAAATTTTGATTTTAGTCATTATAATTCTTTAGAATTATTTTTTTAATTCCTATGTTATTATATAATTATTTCAAATTGCTTATTTGTTTACTAAAAGGTCAAATGACCATTTCAAGTGTCATCATAACTGTTAGTGATATCATGTTAGTTAGTATATGACACCTTTAATTTTTTTTATTAGTCCTTAAAATAAATTTCATTTACCTATCTTAAAATGAGATAAAAAATGACCGTTTTAGATTTAAGAGAGATAAAAAATATTTTATGAAGACTAAAATTAAAATTTACTTATTTTACAAATATATAAAATATTTTACAAAGATAAAAATGAATATTTACAAATTTTAAAAAAATAAAAAATAAAAAAATTCACAGGTAACAAAATTAAATTTCGCTAATTTTGTGAGTATTAAAAATATATTTAAATTTATGTTTTATAATAAATAATACCAAATTATCAATATACATATAACATCACCCGAGTATAATTTATTAAATCAAGAATTTTAATTTTTATATTTTGATGCTATTTACTTATTATATTTTAAGTAACATAAGATATTGCATTAGATTAGAATAATTTAAAATATATTAATTTTTTAAAAAATAAAAATTTAATCATCAATAGCTAATTATATAATTAAAAAATTCATCTTTAAAATGCATGATATATTTTTTTGATAGCACAAAAATGCTTGATAGTTAATTTTAAAAATTGAGTTTATTAAAATTAGCGTGATGGAAAATATTACATAAATTTTTTTCAATTAAAAAAACCCAAGATTTCGGTTCGGATCTTTATTGCCCCGAGCGATATTGGACCCCACTATTCAATTTCTCCCTCTCAGAGACATTCAGTCGATAAGTTCTGAGGACAATTCAGGGTTTTTATTATTTAATCTCCGAGCGTTGTAATTATCCCAAAATAAAAAAAAAACCCTTATAAAAAGAATAGTGAAAACAGTTGAAACTTGAAAGTTGGAAGAAGCGTGAGGGCGTGCAAGATTTACAGGAATTCCCTCGAATTGAGATTCACTCGAAACCACGGTGGCCATAGGCAATGCCCATGGCGACGCCGGAACCCTCCCCCGACCACATCGACTCGCTTCCTCTGGTCGACCTCCGCCTCCTCTCTCAATCCGAACTCTACACCCTCTCCCTCTCCGGCGCCACTCACCGCCACCGCCGCACCGAAGACGACTCCGTAATCCCCAAAATCGACCGTTCCGTTTTCAACGAGTCCGCCGGCAGCCGCAAGCAGACCTACTCCAAACTCCGCCTCAACAAACAAAAACCAAACTCCGCCGTTCCCGCCTCCTCCTCCTCATTCCACATTCCCCTCCACATTCCCGAGCCCGTCGACCAGGAAAACTCCCAAATCATCGCTCTGCTGCAACAGCTCTTCGGCGTCGAGCCTCTCCGCAACGCGTCGCGCCGCAATGACGCCGAGGACCGCCGCCTCGTTCCTGTCCAGGTCGAGTTCAAGCCACCGCTTCCGGAATACGCCACGCTCCGGAACGTTCCGATTGACGTCGTGGACGGCGGCCAGAGGAAGCGGAAGCGCGGCCGGCCGCGGAAGAACGAGAATTCGGTAACGGTTTTCGCGGAGGAGCCGGTGAAGGTTGACGTCGATGGTAACGGTAACGGTAACGGCGAGGGCAACGTGGCGGCAACGGTTATCGATCAGGGTTTCGTGGTTGACGCGGTTCGTTTGGACGGGGATCCATTTGGGGAGGAGTTGAAGAGAAGGACCCTAGGTTTGGAGACGGAGTCGCAGTTGTTGGAATTCTTGGAGACTTTGAATGGAGAGTGGGCGAGTCAGAGGAAGAAGAGGAGGATTGTGCCTGCTAGTGATTTCTGCGACCTGTTACCTGCGGGATGGAACGTCGTGCTTACTCTTTTGAAGAGGGCAGGTCGTGCTTCCGTTGTTTGTCGCCGTTACGTAAGGTTTTTTCTATTCATTTTCCTTTCCATATAGTCTCTAATTGCATGCGTTTGTCCTTTGATTACTGCTTCGAATTCAATGTCTAGATACTTTGAACTGTGCTTTCATTTTCCTGTCTGTATATGCTTGGAAACTGCGGAGAGCTGTTTAATGCTTCTGTGCAAGGTTTTAGGTTTTTCATGTAGCTATTCTTGATATTGCGAACATATTTGGGGCCACAATCCTTGACGTTACAGTCGAAATTGTGGTGGCAGACTTTTTATTTATTTATTTTATTTTGTTTTTTTATAACTTTGGTCTGTGTTTCAAGGATGGGGGATGAAGGATTGAGCTTCTGCACTTCATCTTTAACTTTATAAAAACTGACTCATGATGTATGCATCTGAGTTTTAGGTGTTCCTACTACGGTATCTGAATTGTTTGCAGTTTTCCTCTAGAATTCAGATAGGTGCTCCTTTAAAATTTGGCTAGGTTTATGAATGAAAGTGTTGTAAATGTCATTTCTAGGTCATGGTTGTCAAGTTGGGATTTGACTCATGAATCCAAAGTCCTATTTCCATAATCTTTCCTAAATTGCGAATATTAAGATTAATGATCAATAATTGAAATACCATTAAAAGATATTTTAATTAGTGTTATTTAATACAAGCGAGTCGAGTCATCATGGAACCGAAATGTGGCTGGCCTAGTGATGATGTCACCAAACCGGCCAAAAAGAAATCGGATTTAACCGGTGAAACCTGTTTCCGGTCGGACCACTTTTCGCACAAGCCCAAGGATGCGTGGCCTGCTGCTGCTTTGGGAAGTGACTTTTGCTTAAATGTATGTGGCCCAATGTGTCATGTGTGCTTTGTAAAAAAATATAAAATCTGCTCGACGTCGGATTCGATCCCAACATCTCCATGTTTCTCAAACAAAGAACTTACCATTGAACCACATTGGTTCTTTGGTACACATTGTCACACATATAATATATATAGTATAAAATATTTTATTATATATACCGGTTCATGCGATTCAACTAACAACTCGGTTGTTCGATTAGTAACTTACCAATCCAGTACTTTGACTGAGTTGTGAACGGTCTGGTGTTAATAACACTGATTTTAACATAAAAGAAATTAAAAAGCGTCAATGTTGGTAAAATAGTTCTTTCCTCAAGTCAGTTCAGTTGGTTAAGCATTGTGATGTGAATTGTAAATGCCCGAGTTCGATTCCCCGCAATGTCCTTCGCCTCTTGTTATTTTACCCTTTCTCTACCTTCCCTGTCTGAGCCTCCCCTTGGACCAAAAAGATAGCCAAATAGCTCATTGTTGTTAAAATTGAGATCTTACTAAGGATCTAGAGGGGGTTGAAAGTTTGTAAATCAAAGGTTTGTAACATGAATTGTAAGATCCAGCCAAAAGTTGCAAAATTATACATTATATATAAAGATATACACATGATAAAAATGACATATATAAGGAAAATATATTGTGAATATTTAACATTAACTAAACTTAAATTGAAAATTCATATTCATTGATTTTTAACTCATAAGTAGTCATAACTGATAGGTCCAAAATAACTTGTAATTAGCCACAAAAACAAGGAGATGAAGATTTTAGGGTTGTGAAATGGGTTGAATTCTCGAGTCTAGACGAATTGGGTTGTGAAACCTGACCCAGAGAACTTATCTCTAAGATCTGCACATCATGGCGCTCCCTTGATTACACAAGGAAGATTGCAATCTTACTGTGGTATCACTTATTCCAGGTCTTATTCGGCACCCTGTTAAGGGAGAAAATTGTAGAATCGTGAATCCTACAATCTTAATCGGAATATTGTTGACAACAATGTTATAGCTAATTCAGTGAAGTATAATCTTCAAAATAATCAAGATTCAAGTTGTAACATTAATGACAATAATAGAAGAATGAATGCACAAAGTCATTGGTATAGCCAGCCACTAAAAAAACAAGTCACTAGATGGTCAATATGGATGGTTCAAGATGCAATTCTTGTGATTCAGACAATTCAAGGTGTGTTTCAGCTTCAAAAACTATTGTGGATGCGATCTGAATTGCTGCATCTCGGAATTGAGTTTCACAAATCTATGAATTTTTATGTAAAGCATGACATTTCTTTGCACATGCAATGAAAACAGGAAAAAATGGCAATAGGATAATTTTTTTCTTCTTTTTTCTAGATTACAAATATAAATGTACGAACACTTGAGTCTCTTAAGGATGAGAGGAATAGTTGTTTTCCAAAACGTAGATTAATTTAAATCCAATTGCTGCCCTATCTCTTTGGACATTATTTTAAGTTCATGACTGAATGAAAACTACTCATCTCCTTGCCACTAGTCTACTCTATCATTAGAAAGAGTTTGAAGATGTTAAATTAAATTCTAACAAAAGAGTAAAAAGTTGGGCATGAGGGGAGGGACTGATTCAAATCAATTGGTATGGGAATATTTCTTATCACTTAAATGCTCTATATGAAATTCATAGAGTAGCATATTAATAAGTTCTCTGAACCTGAGCGTGTTAATTGAAGGCCTGATAGAAGATATAGATACTAATTGTAATTTATGTTCTGTTTGGGTGTAGCCTTCATCAAATATAAGTGCCTTGTTGTCTTATTTGTTTTTCTTTGCCACTGCCAAAGTCCCACATCAAGTAATTTAGGGAGCACAAGCAATTCATTGAGCATGTTAATTGAAGGCATGATAGAAGATATAGATATTAATTGTAATTTATGTTTCGTGAGAGTGTGGCCCACATCAAATAAAAGTGCCTTGTTGCTTGCTTATCTGTTTTTCTTTGCCACCACCAAAGTCCTACATCGAGTAATTCAGGGAGCACAAGCAAATTGCTATACTTATGAAACAATCCACTTCTCTATCAAACAACCAATGCCCCTGTGGTGTCTTACCTTGTTAATGAGTGAGAGAGGATGCACAATTAGGACTGGTTTTTTTTTTCCTTTCCAATGAAACAGGATTCATTCTGGAAAAAAGTGGCCGAGTCATTGAGTTTTCAAAACTCATATGGGGTAAACGAGTTTTTAACAGTTTCGATGGCTATCTAAATGGCGACTTTGACCAAACTGGTGAGTTTGAGTTTAATAACTTTTGCAAGTAACAAAGATTTTGGGCCAAATTGGAGTTTTGTGGACATTTTTGTTTCGTATGAGATACCTGACTTCATTTTATTTAGAAAGGACAATTTAATTGAAATTGAAAGAAATAAAATGTAGGGTAGCCAAGTGCACAAGGTGTGGGGTTTAGGGAGGATATATGTATAGCCTGTCCCTCACAAGTGAAAAGGCTTTTTCCAAGATACTCGTGAATCGTGACTTCTAGGTAACATCATTACCATTGCACCAAAACTCAATCCAATTGAAAGAAATAAATAAATAAATGAAATAAAATTAATTGATCTTAATTAGGTGCCAAATGTTATGACAATCAAGGGATCTTGATTGGAAACACACATGTGTCTAATTACGTGTAATGTAATTATCAAAATATATTGTGTTGCCATATTTCTTTATTTTCATTCATTAGGATTAGGATTGACATTTTGGGCTACAAAACACTGACTCTGACATGGATATCGGACACGATATGGACATTAGGATCTGACTAATGCTCAAAATATAGGACACCGGGACACTGCATTTTACCGGCTTGCTTTAGACAATTTTCTAGCTACCCGTTCTCCTTTTGGCAATCTTTGACTATTTTCTTTATTCTGGCCATCTTTTCCATTGTTTTCTTCTACCACATTATTTTACCAGTGTGTTTCAGATAATTCTCTTGCTATCTGTCCTCCTTTCAGTGGTCCCTAGCTGTGTTCTTTATTTTGGCCATTCTTTCATTGGTTTATTTTATCACCATGACATCTCGCATGCCCCAACATCCGTGTTTTTGTCTGGTTTCCTAACTCCTGTTGCACATTTTTTTTTTGGTGTTTCAAACCTCTGATGCTGATCCCCCACTATTGTAACATCATTTTGACAGCTTTGCCATTTTTTGTCATGACTATGAGATCATAGACATCAACATACACTTATGACTTTCTCAGAAGTATCAAATGGGGCTCCACAATAGTCCAAAAAAATTGTTGACTAGTTACAATCTCAGATTATGTAGTTTGATTTCTTATAGCCTAGTAAGCTTTAGCCTGAGGGGGAGTGTTACTGTATTAGAATATGGAAATATAAAAAAGTACCCTAGTCATTGCTTAGAACATCTCTGATGCTCTCTTAAGATTAGTTTCCTATTTTATAGTTTAATATATGTGGTCTCTGTACTATTTCCCATGTCCCATCATAGACTCCTAATAATGAACCTTAAATTTCTTACATATTTGATTTTCACTGTATCCACATTATGATTTGGATATCTTCTACTTTTGAATCTCTGCTTGAGTATGATCTTTGAATTATATTGGACTGAAGTGTTGCAATTTCTCTTAAACTTATTTTGTTATCCTATTTTCTTGGTAATATTTAGAGTAATATCCATTTTGTTTTTGCAGCCACCACACATGCATCCTCTATCAATTTTTCTCCTTGGGAATTGATTTTATTTATTTATTTATTCACTCTAAATCAAATCCCCAACAGTCCCATTCTTCCATCTGTTTTACTATAATTCTGTCAATAGAAAAAGCTCGTGTGATACTATTTCACCTCAAAATGCAGCATTTTTTGTAAAAAATCGTAATGAAATGGATGGAGAGATGTAAGGATTGGGGATTTGAAGTTTTAGATGAAATTGATAAAATTAATGCTTAAGGAATGAAATTGTTTTAAGCATTTACTCTTTACTATGACTTGTGAAGTATGAGGATATTTACTCTGTAGCAGCTGTAACCTAAATTTTATTGGTTCAAATTATACATATATTGACTATTGCTTTCTGGTGTTTATAACTGTTATTCACGATGGATTCTTATGCAATTTCCCTAATTTGATTCCATCCAGTCCTGGAGGACACCAGTTTGAGTCGTGCAAAGAGATTTCTGCACACTTGCTTTCTGTTTCTGGCGCTCAAGATAGAAACTATTTAAAATCTAGTTATATTGATGGGTCTCAGCAATTATCCAGTAGTATGAACATGGCTTCTGGAAGTGTAAGCTAATATTTGTAATGTTTTATTTCTTTTTTCTATTCCAATTACAAAATTAACATTTTTTTTTAATACACACACAGATTGTTGGTCATGCTCCTACCGGAGACATGAAGACTGATGCCAATACGAGTTATTTGTCTTTAGCTGGTGCATCTATACACTCTAGTCATGAGAAGCAGGCCACCGCACCATTATCAATTGGGTGTGAAAATTTCAATAGTGATCTGTCTTTGGGTTGTAAATTAGCAGATACTACTGGTGGAGCCTTTAGAGACTTTGTCCATCAAACTGAAGATAAGCAACTATTGAAGTCTGATAAGAATGATGGAAATTCAGTTCAGGGATGTTCTCTTGTGGAGGATAAACTTGGTAATGTACACAGTGAGAAGTTGGTTGCTGCTGTTGAGGCTAGTGATGCTGCATGCAATCTTTACATTCCTTTAGTTTTTCCAACTCCTTTCTCCAATGATAACAGGGCCAATGGTCAGTTTTCTGATGAAATAAATGCTGCCACATGCATAAAAGGTGGCATTGGTAATTTTGTTAGTCAGGATAGAGATGCTGGAAGCTGTGAAACTGTTCCTTGTGGAAATGAACAGGCACATGTTGACAACAATAGGCTTGGGCTTTCTGAGAAATTAGTGGAAGAGAACATTCAGAAATCAAGTCTTGAAAGCAGCATGCTGGCTCCAAATTCTGAGCAGAAAATATTTGCTGATAAAAATTTAGATGATGTATATCTTACTAGTTCACTAGAGGATATGATGGAGATTAGAGATGGAAAGGCCATCAAGGATGACAAACAACAAATTTTTTGTAGCAGAGACCAGGCTGAAATTAAAGATGTTTCTACTAATGCTAAGCTGCAGAGTAGTTCTGAGGGTTGTTCACTTGTCTCCTCTCAGAATGAACTTAAAAATACATCTATAAGTAATGTGGACAGAACACAGACTTCCATGCTGAAGGACTCTGCTGAGGAAAATATTTTTGACAGTGATTTATTTAGCGCATCTATTGATGAAAGAAAATGTGTTCACAGTGGTTACATCAGTAATGTTTCTTTTAGCTCTTGCACACAAGATGCATCCGAGTATGGTGGATTTGATTTTGCTTCTGATCTTAAATTAACTAAGGATGTTAGTGATAATCATATTCTTTCAAGTGAGGAAGCTGTGATAAGATGTTTACAGGAAAGGAGTTCCTTGAGTGACCAAAATAGCATGATGGACAATCTGTTGCACAGAAGTTCTGAAAGTAACTTATTTGCTCTAACTGGGGATCAGCACCCATCTGCTTTTCATGATAATGTGAATAATATCTCCAATGGAACCTTTGGTGCACTGAAAGCTGTTGATTCTGGTTGCATGGAGCCACAGTTAGGCATTGTTTCTTGCAGCAATATTGCTGTAGATGCATATACTACAAGCATTATGCAGGGACAATCACAAGGATGTGTATCTGTTCCTCTTGGTGGAGGTATATTAAACTTTGACAAACAAAGTGATGATGGTGTTAGTAAAGCCAATAAATCTTGCTTATCAGAGATGGCTCAGAATGAAGTTGAAATATTCCAAACTGACTCTACGGGTCTGCCCAAATTTCGGTAGCAGTTAGATAAATTCAGATGCAAATGTGGTGACACATGCAGTGCAAGAAACAATTTCTAAATAAAACATGTATGATAGTTCTGCAGAGTGTGTTGGTAACCACAAGGCTCTGCTTGTATATTCTCAATTTCCTGTCGAAGATGATAAGCTAGAAAAGGTAATGATTAAATTTAATACAGTATGATAAATTATTTTCTACTGAAGAACTGATTTGCTTCTAGGTATCCATTTATGGCTATCTGGTCAAAGTAATTTTGAAATTCATGATGAAATCGTACAATGAAAGTTATTTTGTTTTAATCTAAATACCTGCAAAATTAATCTAAAAGTAGATTAAGACAACACACAACATATTGTCGCATTTCCATGACTAACTTCATAAAATGTTCCCATAAAGTATCAGCAATAAATATTTTAGACATGGATGGTTTTTGCATATTTGAAAAGCAATGATTGATCATGTTTTTCCTGAGTTAATACCTCGTGCTTATGAGTTATTGCCTAAACATGCTTTTGCATTTTCGTTCTTGTTAACAGTTTTGTCTCATACTTTCTGGATTGCTATATAATTCATGTTTCTGATGATGTTATTGGGTATAGTTATTTGAAAAGAAATGATTGATCAAGTTTTTCCTGAGTTAATACCCTGGTGCTTATGAGTTATTGCTTAAACATGCTTTTGCCTTTTCGATCTTGTTAACAGTTTTGACTCATACTCTCTGGATTGCAATATAATTCATGTTATTTATGATGTTATTGGGTATAGAGAAAGTGTGTCATCATCAAGCAGACATTGAAACTTGTCACATATTTTAAAGAAAAGTCTTATGCCTAACAAGTAACAGGAACTTTTAGGTGGCTGTAAAATGCATTTAAAAGTTAGAATGGCATGTCTGTGTAGAAATACTTGTAGAATTTTTGACACTAAATTAGCAGGGTACTAATCAATGGTTTTGATGTTTTGGAGCCTCTGGATTGAGAACGTGGGAATGACATGCCATAATGAATATCAATGATAAATAACTATAACTAGACTAGCCAAAGATTGGATTTTACTATCACCTAGTTTCAATGTGAATGGGATTAACATGTTAAAAGATCTTATGTTGAAAATGGCGCAGAAGTCATAATTATTTTGTATATATTAGCTCAATTTTAAGGTATTTGTGTATGAAACACACTGAATTGTGTCTTGTCTTCTGTTAAATGCCACGCAAGGAACCATACTGTAGAATTGTTCTTGTTTTCTGGTTGCATGCTTTACTTCTGCAGATGATGACTTTCTAGTGTTTCTGATTTTCTGATGTTGCTTTTTATTTTGGGACAAAACAGATAATTGCTTGAAGACAAATTTATTTTGTTGATAGATTCAGCAGGTCGTGCTGGTGGCTTCTCTATTGAGGATATTTTGTGGCTCTGGTGTGATGCTTTGCTTGCTTCTTGCCAGAGCTCGGATACCATTTTTTTTATGCAAGGAACAAATCTTCTTTAGGTCCATTTTAGCTCAAAACATTTCTTTTAACATCTGGTAGACTGGTATACCGAAACCAATTTTTAGGTAGGTCCTTCAATTGAAGGAACTTGTTTTTCCCCTATTTTTTGAAAGAGAAATACCAAAATTATCTGGTGATTTTCGTCTTTCACATGTGGATCGCTCTTTGCAAAACCATAATTGATACCGTTATGGGCACACCCTATCCAATGGATACTGTCTGGTTTATTTTTCTTGTTCACCCTGTCTGGTTTTTATTTTTTATTTTTTATTTTTTATTTCCGTGCTATTACACCCTAGTCAGTACATTCTTTCACTTATTTTATTTTTAACTTTTTTATATTTTTATTTTTATAGATTTTTGAAATGATTGTGATCAGTAGTTCTTGTATTTGAGCTTCAGTTATAAAATGAAGCTTGCTAAACTATTTTATGGCTGCATTTAATACAGGGGACCAAAAACTGGTCCTTGATGGACCAGTGAGTTTATATCCGTTGGATATAATGTAGAAAAAAATGGATGGGTGCTGAATGAAGTTCTAACTGAATGATTTGTGGAATTAGTAATTATTCATATTGTAATCGTCCTCCAAATAAATATACATGATATATACATCTTTTTCATGAGATGAAGTTAGTAATCGGCAAGCGAAAGGGTGGACTTGGACTTAAGAAAGCTATAGGTAGGTGAATTTGGCTTTTATCATGAAGGTTGCGTGGGGTTTAATATTTAGGCCAAAAGACCTCTGAGTTTTAGTGATTAAAGAGAAATAGGGCTGAGCAGAAAATTTCGCCCCGACCAAATCCGAAGTTTCCGCAGGTGAATTTTTTAGTTCGGCTGGTTTTTGGCAGTTTTTTCGATTTTTCTGGTTGTTAGAGTCGGTTTATAATGGGTTTTGTTAGTCGGGTTCAGGTTAAAAAATTTGAACCCGTTGGTATCCATACCCGACCGACTCAAAACACTTAAAAGGTATGATATTTATTCTTTTAAAGGTAGCACCGCGAGAGGAAACCTAAAAACCCTAAGTGTCGCTGCTCACGCAAAACCTTCTCTTATGCTCAGAAATCCTAACCGTCGCGAGAGTAGTCATGTGAAAGTGCAAAGGCCCTGAAAGTGCAATGGTCCCATTGTGCCTCACCCTTCTTCACTTCCCTTGGTACCAGCTTGGCTTCGGAGGCATCTCCTTCACTTCTTGATGATCCTCCTTTGAAACCAGCTTGTTTAAGCACTTCCTCAGGCACTTCTTGATGACCCCAGAAAGCTTGTTAGCGCTGGTTTTCGCTGCCAAGTCCTCCTTCTTCGCCAGCTTGAGGATCTCTAGCCTGTGCTTGGTGATGGAGATTCCCATGCTTTGAAGAAACTCGTGGTTGAAGTAGGTCGCTTCTCCAACTGAAGCTCGTTGCGTGCGAAGGCAAGGCCATACTCGTAGAATTGTTGTCGTTTTTGGTTTGTTGTGAATTGTTTTGAGATGAAGAGATATGGGTTGTTAGTTGTTTTGAATTCTTTTGAGATGAAAATGTAAAGTTCCGCCCTTTGGTGGGGCGGATTTAAGTGGTAGGAAGTGAGAATTAAGGAGAAAAAAATCAAGTGTAAATGGGCTTTTTTTTTTGCCCAATCCGACTAACCCGATCCAATCAACCAGAGACCCGAAAACCCGAACCTGACAAACCCGAAATACTGTTCACGGTCGAAAATGGGTTTTTTTTTTGGATCGGTTTGGATTGGGTTTAATATTTTCAACCCGAATCCTTCTGAACCCGCCCCGTGCTCAGGCCTAAAGAGAAATATAAAATGTGGTTCCAATGATATTCAGATTAAAAAGTCCCACCTAGCCTCTAAATTTTGCCAAGGAATATATAATGTGAGAGAAGACACCATTACTAATATAAAACGAATAGTGGGGAATAAGGGTAAAGTCCATTTTTTGGTTGGATTTTCGGGTCACCAATCTATGGCCTCTTGAATAAAGCGCCCTTGGTATTATCATTAGCATTACTTATTACGTCTTACCAAATGGTGCAAGGGGCCTTATGAGGTTCGAAAATACTCTAACAACTGAAGTGCTCGGCAAGTTTGTTGCCATGCATCCTCCTTCTTCATCTAGTGGGGAGGATAATCTTGCTTGATGTGGTTCAAATGGTTACACCGTTAGATTGCCTCAACTTACTAGCTGCTTACATTCTTACTTCCCTCCATTAATCTTCCAGAGGAAATGAATTTGATGTAATATGGAAGTGGGAGGGGCCCTAAAGAATAAAAGTTTTTCTTTGAAAATTATGCATGGTATTCTTCCATGAATGACTTCAGGTACAGAAAGTATATATCAGATGACAATCTTTATCCTCTTTGTAGGAATCACATGAATATTGCTCATCATTGTAAGTTTGGTTAATTCAGGTGGTTCGTACAATCTCCATAGCTGCTAAGCTAAATGTGGTGGCGTATGTTACGTGATTATAATGATCATTTTTGTGTTTACCTATGCTTTGTTTTTGGGAGATTATAGCGTGTTACATTCTAAGCTTCGGGGACATCTTGTATAGAACACAACTTGCTTGGCAAAAGCTGTTCTTCATAGAGACAGACTGATTTTTTTTAGGCGATCAACCTCTTTCTGAAAGGTTGCCACTTGCCACAAATCCCATGTGCAACGCTATATGGTCCAGAGTATCACCTTCATCACGGAGTAGGGAGTTCTTTTCCAATATTTTTATGGGTAAAATACCTTATTTAACTAATTGTTTGGTGTATTGATTATTCGATTTAATACTTATGGAAGGGTTATGTTAGGAAACAATCAGATAAGACAGATGACGCACTCTACATATACAAACACTTAGCAATCATATAATCATTTTTTTTTTATAAATCACGCATATATAATCGGTCAATCTTAAAGTCAACAACTATTTATATTTAAAACAATATATTATACGTTAAATGGAGGTAAATTTCTTTTATAAAAAATATACAACTGATCTATTCAATAATAAAATTTAATTTAATAACTGGATTCTTGACATAAAAAATGAAATACTTTATTAGTAAAAAAATTAAACTAAATTAAATAAGTAATGTTCAAATACTTTTAGAATGTGTAAAAAATAAGATCAAGTATAATGGAATTTATAAATATTACATTACAATAAAAGTTATATAAATTATTTCAGACATGTTAATATTCGTCATGTATATACATGTGCATTTGTTCTTTGACATCCTTTTTTGGAATTCTCCTATTTTATTTTTTATTTCAATTTTACAAAAGAGAATAAAAATATTGAGTTAAATAAATTTGGTAGGTTTTGAGTTTGGAAACTTTTGGTATGAAATAATCTATTTGGTTTGTTAGGTCCGACCAAATTAACATAATTCTTATTGGAATTATGTATTTTGAAATCAGATTCGTTGAATCATGGACTAATCCATTGAATTGGACTATTTTTTTTTTTACATTTTTAATTTTCACCTTTTTATAAAAATAGTCTACTTTTTCTAATTCAATTTAGTTTGATTTTTAAAATAATTCAGTTTAGTTTAAATTTTATGATTTATAATTAATTTTTACATTTGTTCAAATTTTTTTCCCACTACTAATTACCTACTTTTAAATTTTTTTTTTTTTACTACAATCATCCTATCTCAAATCTCCTTAAAAAATAAAAGTGTAGAGACACTTAGGCAGTTATGCCTCTTCACCTACCGGTATATATTATTGCCCAATGCCCACTACTTATTACCAATTTTTTTTTATAAATTTTAATATTTTTTTTTACTGCAATCATCTTATCTCAAATCTCCTTAAAAATTAAATATGCAGGGACATTCAGATGGTTAAGCCTCTTCACCTACCGGTATATATTATATAATATGAATGAATTACTTTTATATGAGAATGGAAAAAAATATCAATTATTAAATTTTATTATAACTAAATAAAATTAAAACACAAAATTAAAGAAAGAGAGTGCGCAAAATTAATCTTCTCGTGTTAAAATTTTAATAAGTTTAAAATGATAAACTTACATATACTTTTTTTTATATATAAATATTAAATTAAATAAAGTAGTTAGCAGAAATAAAATGAAACACGATAGACCTGTTTAAGTAAAATTGTTGATTCGAACCTATCACGTGACAGGCAATCTTATCTCGAATAAAATTATTTATCGCGTAAGATATCTAAAAGCAAAAAACAAAATCTCGAGTATTTGATATTTATTAAAAGAAAAAAGCATATATATATATATATATATATTTTTTTTTTTTCATATTTATTTCATGAATAAATATGAAATTTAAAATTTATCCTCAAACGATCATGTAAAAGTAAAACAAATCATACAGCTAAATAAAAAGTAGAAATAATTGGGAGAGAAAAAAAAAAGAAAAAAAAAGAGAAGTCAAAGAGTGAACAGCAACGAATATGGTTGTAGTGGTGAACGCAAAGGCGATGATGCAAGAAGAGAGGTAAGGTTCGGTTCTGTTCTGTTCTGTTCTGTTCGTTCTATCATCTCTCACTGTGACTCTGTGTATGGTGATGCCATCGCCACTCACCAATTGATACCCATCACCTTCCTCTCCCTAATAAAAAATATAAATAAAAACAAAAAAAGCGTCCACTAAGGTTGAGGCACGTCATCCATCTCCCTCATCACAAACACAAATCCATGCTTTCGAATTAGGGTTTCCATTTGTTGTGGTCCGAAGAGAAGAGGGAGAGGGAGAGGGATGAGGATGAGGGTTTGGGGATCGGAGATCGTGTTCGCGTTGTTCCTCTGTGGGACCCTCTCATGCACCGCTCAATCGCATCCTAACAATAGGGTTTCTCTCTCCACCACCGTCTGTCCCCTTCGCTCCGCTCTCGATTTCATCTTGCGCCTTCCAGATTCCACCTGCCCCCTTCCCGATTCTCTTCGATCCATTGCCGTCACCGAGGTAACACTTTCTCTCCTCTTTCTATTCTAATTCTAATTTTTGGGATTACAAATTAACAATTACGGATTAGAAACCTTGAGAATTCGGACTTCACTATCTTTGCCTTATACCAAATATAGATATAGATTGTGATGTGAGATTGTGGTAACTCTGAGTGCGGTATGGTTTTTCATGGAACCTGTGCATTGTTGATGTGCAGGGAGATGAGGTTTCTTTGCAGAAGGCACTCAATATGGTTCACAAGAATAATCATGAGTATGTGGCTGTGCTCTTCTATGCATCGTGGTGCCCTTTCTCGCGGGTGTTTAGACCGGTTTTCTCTGTCCTCTCTGCGCTGCACCCTTCCATTCCTCATTTTGCTATTGAAGAATCGTCGGTTAGGCCAAGGTTTGTGTAATTTGTTCTCATTTTTAGTTTCTTTTGTTTATGATTCTTTTGATTGAACGCCAATGCAACTCTTGTTGCAGCATACTGTCCAAATACGGTGTCCATGGTTTCCCTACGCTCTTCATTTTGAATTCTACCATGAGGGTTCGTT